ATAACAGATATTGCAACAATTTAACCCTGTAGAACGCAAACGCGCAAGTGGCTGAAGGCATTCTCTCGTAACACTCAGAGACAATCTGAGACTAAACTAGCACTCGGTTCGCGTGCTGCGAACTTTACGAAATCATGCAAAAAGAGCCAGCAGAAGCACATTTTTGGATGGTGGCCACAATTTTCTCCGTAGTGGAGCTTCTGAAAAAAGAATAGCAGTTTACGAAATACCAGGACAGCTACGTTTCAGAACACTTGTCAACTGCGGAGCCCCCCCCCTCCTCCTTCCTTTTTTCTTCCTCCTTTCATCCTTTCCTTCCTTCCTTCGTTCTATCCCCTCCTCCTTTGTCCTCTCCCTTCAACTTCTGGGCCAGTAGATGCTCTAAGAAAAGAACACTGCACCCTCGCAGCGAGAGCATGTCCGGTTGACCACTGTCCTGTAACCCAGCAGAGAAAGCGCTCTTAGCTGGTCTAGTGGTTCATTACTTTTCCCATTGTGAAACTTTTGTGAAAAATACCGAGCCAGCAAGAAAACACAGTGCTCCGGCAACATAGCACTTCTGGTACATTACTTCGTTCAAAGACTTTAGAAATGCCTCACAATATATAGGTCGGCCCATAAGTAATGGTGTTTTTTATCACTCAAAATATCGAGCTAAAGATGAAAAGTTCCGCCACTGAATTATATTATTATTTTTTATTGTTTTGCAGAGAGTTCCTTTTATTTTGCAGAGAGCTCCTTGCCCTTACGCGATAGTCTTCTTAGTTTTCTTAGAAGTTTCTCTTTCCACTAATATTTAAGTGCTCAAACTGGAGTGTCAGGTCGACGAAATTGAGCATTTTCGACAAGTTCTCTTTCTTACCTCTAATGAAAAAGATAAAACCGCACAGGCCCAGTTTATGGCCAAGAGGCTATGTCTCTCAGGAATGCTTACAATAGTTTAAGTGATTCAAAGATTTCAGTTGCGACCTCACAGACAAGCATCGAACTTAATGCCCTATTGTGTCCAACTGAGAGCTTACGGAACTACCTTATTCACGGAGATTCATGCCAAAGATTGAAGAATCCTAGAGGTTGTAGAATGCTTCCTTATCATAATCAAGTATCACCTTCTCTTGAATGGAGAAGTTCAAAACTTAGTGGATGGGTTCTGCAGGCAGTCGCTCCCCTGGAGGGGCCCCATGCGATGCACATTTACAAGGTCCCAATTCCCATCTCTACATCGCTTGAACCAATTTCAGGTTGTCACCAGAATCACTTTTCTTTGGTCATATATGCCACAATTTCGAGCTTCTTCTGTAATTTGAGAACCGAGATAAAGTGCAAAAAGTTGTTGTCGAGAACTCAATTTTGACTCCTACCCTCGTCAAAAACTATATTTTGCTTACCAGGAAAGGTCAACAGGTCAGCCTGGCCATTTCCAATGAGCTGCACACCGTTGTACGCGTCTTGGGACAGTGAACTCAAATCTACCTTCAGAATTTGCGGAACGATTCTCTGAACGGAGTTATGGAGGGTCTTATCCCGCGTGGTCGTTTCACATGCTATCGCGAGGAAACGTGGAAGCGTCTTTACATTTATGTATGGAGTCATGCTGAAACGTGGTAGTAGAGCGCAACGGGTAGGGAGCGGGTTTCTTAGGCGAGACGTCGTAGGATCGGTTCCGGGGCAGACCACTTTTTTTGCATTTGTCCAAGAACATAGCCGACAAAGCTTCTAACATCTC